ATTTATCTTCTTTTGGATGAGAAAATTCTTAAAGGATTATAAAAACAGGCGAGTAAATGCGGATAGCTTCTTGAATTTCGCATTCGTATCAGATAGGACTGGCGCAGAAGAGCGTGCAATTATGCAAAACACGCACCGTTGATTTGAAAAGCTGTCCCTCAAGCAATTCTGATTTGATATTTAGTGTTTCTGCAGCTATGCGATACATCAATCACAATTTAGATACGAGGGAGGAATCCTTTTAATTAATATTCAGTATTATCTCAGATTACATTAAAATCCACTAGAATAAAAAAAAAGCTGAAACGTCGAAAATCATAATGTAGAAATACCTTCATAATAGTTTGTGTGATGAAAAAATGTTAAAATCAGAATTATCGAAGAAATTGAAAAATTGAAGAGCTTGTATCCGTGATAAATAATTCAATTGTCTAGTTTAGTTAGTAAAGCTAATATTAAGTTAGCTAATACTAGCTAATTTGACGTAGATTGTTTCTATTATGAGCCCATCAATTATTTATTTCACGATTTTCTTCAAAAATAATAACGAAATGGACAATATGATTAATTCTCTCGCCCTACATTTTATCTAAACTTCCAATTAACTTCTCATGATAAAAATTGTCATTCTCCAAGCACTATTCAAATTATAATCGAATAAAAGTCACAAAGACGAAGTGGAACAAAATTTAATCAAAATATAAATCAACGACTGAGATATTTTGGGCAGGATCAATCAGACAGGAAAACATTCGTACGCGATTTGTTAAATCATTAAAATTCGTAAAAGTTATGCCCAAAAAATACGTCCTGTGTGAATTACATAAATAAACAGCTGACCGTCCTGCGACCTTTTATTCGGAGTAATCGAAATAATTAAAGGCAGTTTCCAGAAGAATGCACTGTACGTGAAACAAAATACACATACACTTGCGTAGTTGCAAGTTTCGAATATTCTCGAATGTCCGTTTCTATGATTTGCTATTAACAGAAACATTTCAGATAGTTCAGTAGATCAGTGACCTACTGAGAAATTTGTATTATCCTGTGCATCGATAATGATGACCGATGACGACAAACATTATGGCAAACAATGCCCTGCGAAAAATAGAAAATTAAGGGAGTTAATTATCGACAGGCTAATTACAAAGACGAAAGCGAGTCAACAATTGCCACCATTGGGTCGCGAAATGTTTGATGAACTACTGGAAATTGCGCCGATTGTCGCACATGTCCGAATAGAAAATATTTCGAAACTTTAAAGGGATATCAGCCTATAACTGTTTGTATGACAATATTCCGTGACAAAAACACACGACAAGTAAAACGTAAAAACAGATGTATTAATATAAAAGTAATAAGACATAGAAAAAGCAGCAATAGCCAGAAACATACTACAACAGTAACAGAAAAACACATATTTTAGTAAGTAACAACCCGTCACACAAGTGCGAAACCCTTTGGACAATGAGTGAATGTCAAGTTTGAGTAATAAGGATTTAATAATATGACATTACAAAAAAAGAATATAAAGATATATTACGGGTTGTACTGACGACGAACGACATAGGAACAAAGTAAACCAAATTCAACAAAACAAAGGTATTATAATATACCTTAAGCAATCAAACGTAACAGTTGAAACGAAATTATTCAACGCGAAACCTCCACCCTCGTCAAATTCACAAACACTTTTCCATCGCAGTCAACCTAATATCAGAATATAGGATAACAGGAAGCTAAGGTAGTCGCGTAAAATTCATAGCTTCCGATTTTCGCGAAAAGAATTGGGCGTAACGAGTCTTAAAACACGATTATCCAATCGCGTCGTAAGCGAACGGCGGTAGTAAGGATTTTTCGTAGCTGGAAGTGATATCGAGCCGGTTCAGTTAGATCCCTGGTAGAATTCTTGTTCCGATACAAGGCGCCGACTATCGACGATATTTTCCAACGGGGTGTAAGAGCGGCGCGAGGCAGCGATGCATGCCGAAACTGCATAAAATAGCTGTTCTTCGTATTTCACGGCGTTCAGAGGACGATAAAATATTCTCCGGAGTACACTTTGCCTGGAATTTCATTCGTCGTTTGGAGCTGCCGCGTATTACGGCACGTAATATACCAAAGGGAGTCGTTGTTGCGTCTGACAGGCCGGTGCACGAGTTTTGAAAAGGTCATCCGAACCTCCGAGGAATTCATATTAGACAACCGCGCGTGCGAACAGCTCAACAGCTTGACAAGATGATTACCGTACAATTTGCGACATTTCGTCGGAGGATTATGCCTACGATTGAACAGTCCCACTCAGATTCGACTATTCCGCAACGCGCACGCGATCGATGACTTTCAAAGTAGCCTTAACCAGATTCTACGAAATCTTCTCATCCGTCAGAAGGTAATTTTTGTATAATTTTTAACAATCGCTGTGTATGTGTGATAATGCCTTAATCTCTTAATAGAAGGTAACGAGTTAAACTGTCGGCCGAGTATTTTGTTTTTTTTTTTCGAAATAGATTATACATTTCCTAAGTAGATTTAGTCATAAGTTTAACTATATTTCCGACTGTTGATTTCATAAGTAGATTTTATTATACGTATATGTATATCAGAATATATGATATCAAAATTTGCATTAAGACAGAATTGTATTTATTAGGAAAAAATAAACATTTTAATGGACTAATATATTAATGAAAATGATAAAATTATTATAATAAAAGGCACCTTACGATGCAAATGTATGTACTACATATGTTTTATAAGATATATACATATCTTAATCTATAAAGTCATAATGATCAAGAACTAAACTAAAGACGATTTATGTCTCGCTGCATTAGTTGGTCAAGTACTAATTTCAGTACATCGTGATCTTTATATCTGTAACACACATCGGAGTGTACACATCGAAAGAATGTTCTAACAATAATAAACGTCATGAACTTTCCACGTACGCCACTGAATGTCAGAATTCGTTTACTCAAATTCGATTTTTCATAGAAACGTAAACGTCTTTCACAAGCAAAGCAATGAAAAATAAATGGTTGAAGCGATATAAACACTCCGACCGTTCTTCGTCGTCGAATATTCTTTTTGAAACGCGCTCTATTTAGTCAGAATATGCCGCTTCGTCACTCGTCCAAAACCCAGTTCCTAAAGATTTATTTTTGTTGTAACAATAGTAAAGAATGAAAAGAGGAAAAACAATATTTTCTTTCCCATCACTGCCATGATAATGCAAAACTAAATATATCAATAGAATTATTAAAAGATAAAGAAGTTAACTTTTTCCAAGACATATTTTTATACATAAAATTATGGATGGCATACAGGTAGAGCTATACAAATTGAATATTCAGTATAACAGTTATTTATAAATGTTTAATATTTTCTACGTAAGCAACGAAATATGTATTTTGTTCAATTAATTTACCTATTTGGAACACTGTGCATCTTCACAAAATTCTCATAATTAAACTGCGAATTTTTATATATATGTGAGAAATATAACGGCGCAAAGATGCCCGGGATATAAATAGTATATAAAAATGTGTAAAATATAATACTCATTATAACGATATCAAATAATTTTATCAGTAACATTCATAAAAATATGAATTTACATCAATGTCTGCAAAATTTATTGAATCATATTTGTCAAATTTAACGCGTGGTTAAAACGTGAATATCAATGAATCAGTTCTTTTATAGCCATCTGAAATAGATCGATCTTAAGTCATTAATTCCATGAGCAATAGCTCAAATGGAAAATCCGCGCGGAAATTGGTTCCCTCGAAATAGCAATCCGTTACTTGGGTTACTTTCGATGACTATTCAATGACGATTTCAAAGACGAAATCGTGCGGCTCTCGAAAAGAGATCCTTGTTTAACATCATAAACGCATTCCAACGTCGAGGAATAGATGAATGAAACACGGAACACGATACTGTTTCATAATTAAACGTCAACCTTGTTCGTTACGTTAATTGACAAACTTGCTATCATTTTGTGGTTGCTATTTTGTATGCATACGTGAATCTGGTCGTTTCCTTCGTTCGTATGATAAAACTGAAAAGTTTGTTTAAAAAAGTTACACGCAAAAATATGAAAAAATCAAATTAAAAAAAGATAATCGTGTTAAAGAAAAATTTGTTGTTTTATAATTGGTAATTTCTTGGTTATTTCGTTATTTCAGTTTATTTCAGTAAACGAAAAATATAACGTTTAGTATTAATGAAATTTGTTTGATATATATCGTTTGTCATTTCGAAATTTGAAAAATTTTGTTAGCATTTGTTTATTTTTATCGAAGCGACTCTATCGCAGAAATAGAAGAAATACGAATCAAATACAAGAATTGGTAAAGTAAATGAATATTAGTGAAAGTATTTTATATGAAGAAGACTCCTTTTATAGTCAAAAACGTCTATTTTCTATTTCTACTCAAATTTTATACTATCACATATGTAAAAACAACAGTACTACGTAGATATTTAAAAAATAGTCCAAGTAATAAAGTATCTTGAAAGAAACCTTCCAAAGCAATAAACACAAATATCACTGTCAGTGTAATGTTTGAACAATAGCGTATTAAAGGTTTTTAAGTAACAATCAACATTAATCTAGTATTACATATTAATCAACATTAATCTAAAATCAGCCTTAACCTACTAATATCTATAATATATTGACCTGCTATTAACTTACTATTCACATAAAACGATTTTATTAAACAAATTTTTATACAGCTCCTATTTTCTTTCTATAAAAAATGTCAAACCTCATATTCATGGCTCTCCTTGTAATCAAAATGCTTTTTAATCACACAAATTTCACATTGTTGTCATAAATCGTAAATTAATATAACTAGTGGCCACCATAAGAAGGAAAAAAACATTTGTCGCCGAACAATTACTGCTTGTATTACTAAAAGGTGTATTAATTTTTTAATGACAACTCCTGAGGACGATAAAGTTTTATCGAATTTGATCCGTGTACTCACCGTATGGAAGAACAAATCCACAGAAAAGCGATATGGAACAAAGGAGCCACAGGAAATTCGCACTTTTCTCGGTACACATGGCGCGATGCACACTGTTATCGGCTGTTTTCAAACACCCGTGCCGTATCGCGCGGCCACTCTCGTGGCTCTGAGAGTTCCTCGTTAGATTTCGAGTTTGAATCTCGGTCCTTCTCTGTCTTACGCTCTTCATCTCGCACGCAGCCTCAGAAAGCGGTCCAGCGCCTGCTCGCTGACAATATTCCGGATAAACTAATCCGAACAGAGGGCACCACTATTCAAGCATGTTCACCTGTACCGACAAAGCAGATAAAAGGTGGTAACTGTTTCCGTAGAGAACTACAGAATAATACTGGTTTTGCTAAATGATTGTTTTACAAAATAGGATTATAAATAGTACTAACAAGCTACACCTCGCCAGCGAAAATACATAGTATGTTGTAATAAATAATCAATATACATATGTATAATAATAAACAATCTTTGAATGGATCTTCGTTGATGGGTTGGCTTCCAATATTATCAACTGAACATAGAATAAAATTAGAATTATAACACCCCTAGCGGTTAGAATTAAAATCTACTACTATCAAAGAGAATTCTGCAATTTGATAATTCTAAGACCAGGGCTCTGAATTTTGAAAATTCTAAACTCTGTTATTTGGAGATACTAAAGTTTAAATCTATGAGTGTGAAGCCTAAAAATTAAGATCTAGAAATTCTGAGCTAGTTTTTAATTAGAACTTAAAGATCTAGATTTTGATAGTTTTAAGATCTAGGGTCTGGATTTGGTATCTGGGGGATTGTGGTTGGTAATCCGCGATTTGGAGTCTGGGAATTTTTTAAATGATTGAGGCCTGGTGGTCTTAATATCCATGAATTCTAGAATATCTGGAAATCAGTTATTGCAGTCTTGTAGTCTATATTTGAGATTTCAATTTAAGGCCTGGAGATTAAGTATATGTTATAATATTACTGTCATTAATAGAATTCTAGTTTTATTCTACATTGTATCGATAATATTGACACAAGAGTTCAAAAAATTCGCAACCCTCCAAACTAATATATGTATAGTACAAAAAATGCTAATAGAATATTAGGTTATAAACAAGACTAGTTAGGCTTACTTTATAACTCATCCGTATTTCGCCTATCATGATAATACGTCATTTTGCGCAACACTGCCATAGGAGTAAAAATAAATCAATGCCATCAATTCTGCTTTGTGTGTTTCATAGTAACTTTATTTTTTACATAATCTACATTTACAGTACACATGTAACTACAAAATTTTTCTTTGTAAAATGTATAACGTAAAAAATGTTAACACAAGAAATATTTCTCATTCTTAATCAACGATTATTTAAACATTTAATTAACATTATCACCATAATGTTGCACATCATATTATAATACATTATTGCTATCATCACCAATCAATTTACATTACCATGACGATATCTACAACTATCAGGATCCAACTTAATAATTCTATATGATACCACTATTAGCTGTGAAATTCCGCGTCAGCTAAAACGCATACAATTTTTGCACACGTGTAACATGGCATTACATCCGCACCGCAGTATCGTGAACCTCAGCGCCAAACCCGATAGTCTATTATCAGCTATCATGTATGGTCCACATCGACCGAAATCGATATTCGCTATCGATCGGTAAAGATTCGACTAATGGAGAGTCCCGTCAACGATGACGTCCAGGAAGAAATAAAAAACACTCTCTCTACGTAGAGAGGCCAATGTTAAACGTCGACGTCCTCATTCGTGAAATCTAACTTTGGTATACAACCATACGAGCCTTTGATATCGATCCTCTGGCAGCTCGGTTCTCTCGACTACGACAGCGACGCAAGCTCAACTCGGAACGAGGATCCCTCGCGGTAGAGGGGTGATTTGTCCTCCCTTTCGTTACCGCTACTAACTCCCTCTTCCCTCCCCTCCTCCCAACCTTTTCCCTCACCCCGTTAGCTTGCAGCCCCCCTCACCTTCTGTGTTTCTTTCTCTCCTTCTTTCTCTCGCATCCTCACGAGGAGGAGAACGAGAAGCAGGAAAGATGAGCAATCAAGAGGACCTCGACTATTACATCATGTTCCCGTCGTTTCCGCCGTCCCCGAAGGATCCAACGTTAACCACCGGTAGTCAGGATCAACGTGAAGAGTTCGTATTCGTTTACAAGGAGGACAAACGACCGGTAATAGTGCTACTAGGATGGGCCGGCTGTCAAGACAAATATCTGGCCAAGTACAGCGCAATTTACGAAGAGAAGAGGTACTGATGTTTTGCAAAACTAGCCCTCGCCCCTTTTAACTGTTCCTTCTTTTCCGATTAATTTCTTTCTTCTTGCTTTTTCATTCTTTCGTATAACTGGAAGTTGAGGATGAGAATATAGATAATAGTTTTTACGCGATGGTCCGTGATGATAGATTTTGTGGAGTAACAGTTTGATGAGCAAGTGTTAAAGTAGAAGGATGGATATACGTTGTACACGCATGTATTTTTTATGACAAAATATTGGAAGAAAATGTAGAATTAAGTGTCATAAAACTGTTGATAAGACATAGTAGAAAATGCCGGCAATATCATGCCGATGATACTTGTTTATTTAATCGATAACAATTTAGAATTTAACTTCCGAAATGAATTTTTTTATTTATTCGAATTCCTAGTGAATGTTGTTGTATTATTAGAATTTATCGTTAGCAATCAATAACTCAATCGTACTTTACAATCACTAAAACATATAATAATATAATATTACACAAGTCAATAATTAATTAATCATAAACATTATTTTGGATCAATAATAGAAGATATATTCTATGCATTTATGTTTATACTATTTTTCTATGAAATGCTTTTATAGTAAGTAATTTATTGTACCATCCATACATTTCAATGTTTTCGGATATAAAACGTAGTATAAGTCGAATGATACTCTAATAATCTATAAAATATATTATATACTTCTATATAGTAGAGATTTACAAATTATTTAATACATATTGATAAATAATGTTCCTTTCTCAAGCTGCATCACGCTACGATACACGGCACCAGTAGAATGTCTATTTTGGCGAAGAGATAAAATGCCTCATATTGGCAAACGGTTGATCCAGGTAATCACAGACAAGAGTTTAGATCAACACCCGATATTCTTCCATGTCTTCAGTAACGGCGGTGCGTTTCTATATCAACATGTAAGCCTTGCGATGCAACAAGCTAACTCGCCGCTTAAGGTAAAAAATACTGTTACCTTTCACCTTTCCAACATTCTCTACATCATTGCTTCACATAATATACATTAACATTGAAATTCTAGGTCAAAGGAGTGATATTTGATAGCGCACCGGGAGAAAGAAGATTAACCGCTCTTTTCAAAGCAATTAGCGCAATCATCGGCGGACATCCACTTACAAACATACCAATGTCCTTCCTCATTACGATCTTCCTCTCTATACTTTGGTTTTTAGAGGTATTAATAAAGATATTACTGGACTATGGATTTTTATACATTTTGCGAAATTTAATAATTAAATATAATATTTAGTGAATAAAAGAAATCCCTGTCTAGGTTCTATTTCTTTGTTGTGTTCATAAAAATATAAATTTAATTAATAAAAGTCCGTAGTCTAGACATTACATTCCTTTTGTATCGAATTTATTGATATTACCAATTTAAATCTTGATTTAGGTGATCGCTCACGCCCTTGGACGTGGTTATCCAGTGCAAACGAACCCGATCGGTCTTGCAGAAGAATCCTATTCTTGGCCGCAATTGTTTCTTTATTCGAACGCTGACACTTTAATTCCGGCAGCGGTATTGTATATCCTTGACATAATAGTTAATTGCAAGAATCCACAGCAGATTAAATGTATTTGTATTTTATTCTTTTATATGAACTTATATATTATACTTGTTCGTATTTCAAGGACGTCGAGAAATTCGCCAGTCGACGAGCAGAACGTGGTGTACGAGTGCAGCTGGTACTTTTCACCAATTCTCCGCACGTCAAGCATTATGCTACTTATCGTGATGCCTACGTAAATACAGTTTGTAGTTTCATCCACGAATGCCTGACGTCACCAAATTTAGAATGCCTGGAATTGCCTCAGAATCATGGTATAGAAAATAATTCCCGGAATTACGTCACTATGCCAAGTCTTACCAAAAGAGTTGTGCTACCTCATGAGGCTACTAAGTTAAATTAGAAAAAAACAAATGGAATATTAATAATAGAGTAGCAATATGATCGATGGAAGAGTCGTGTTCCGTACAATTTTACATGTACGATTATACGCAAACAAAAATGGACAAACTGGAAGATTAAGAGGGTCGACGTATTGTTTGATTTTCATCGTCGAACTTCGTATATTTGAATATATGACACGCATTTTCTATACAGCGTTGAGTCTTGACATTATTATGAGAATCTTCTTATTCGTATTGATATTAATATGTAGTGAAAAGTGTTAGCTACTCAAAAAAGTGCATTTCATATAAAATAAATTTTTACTAGAATAATTTTGTTTGTAATATATTTTACTGTTGTCCTTATTTGTTGTTAAATAATCATTATGGAAAATATAAATCATTTAATTGTAGATTTACACGCACAAATATGATATATAGATAATATTTAAACATTACAGCACAGATGCTTTCAAATTTAATTTTAAGCAATTTAATATGTGTTTATGCAAAGCTCAACGTTGATTCACGTGTAAAGATGAATTAATCTTTAATTTTTCGTAGAAATTTTAAAAACTAAAGTGAGCTCGACCTCTCTTTCTTCCTTTTGTCCTCTTATACTCATTCTACTTCCGCTTGGTATTTCCTTCGTATCTTCCAGTTTCTTCCTTCGCTGTGTGTTCTTGAACGTCAATGTGCCTGAACTTCACAAATCGACACAATTGCGTTCCTTTCGAGAATGAAAGAAAGAAAGTACACATTCGAGTAGTTATTCAACAGTGTACAAGTATACGCAAGTACAATTCTGAATTTCCAGGAAGTAAATGGAATAATGTTGCAATACACCCCAAATTTCCATGTTTGAAATATTTCGTAACCTCGTATAGTGAATTGAAATAGAAACTCTAGATGCACTTGACAGCGAATTAAGGTGAAAAATTGGAAATTAGGAACCTAGACGCTTGTTGATGTGATCGAAGTGCGCACAAGAAATATACGTTATTAATTGAAATCTCGAGGGATCATAATCTCACGATGTTTTAATTTCGACGTAAAAAAATTCTCGCACAAAAGGATCAAGCTGGTCTTGATTTAGCTTTCAATTTAATTGCGGTTGTAATTAAGTATCAATGAAACAGAGGAATTTTCTTGTATCTCTCCTTATCAAATAATGTTATGTCTCTACATAAAGTACACAGCACACACACACATCACGTGCACGCGCGCACGACACACACAACACATATATATACATAATATATAAATATATTTTGATCTGTCGATTAGTTAAAAATAAAGACTGATAAATATACATGATTTGTTGTTTTTTTACAGACATATAGCTGTTAAATAAATGAAATAATCAATATTTAATATACATTTATGTCTTTTTCAGCTAGAATATGAGATATGAAATTTTTGTTTCATGAAATAAAGATATATAATATCAACTAGTAATACATTTATGAAATCTGTATAAAATGTAAAAGCGTTATTTTTCCTAACATTTTCTTCGTTGAATTGTTGTATTACAAATTTTAAAAATCAAGTTATTAGTAGTAGCCTATAATAGTAACTTATTAACTTAATTATTTGCACATGATACAAAATAAGAAAATGTTATAATAATAATTCATTTTATTTTCAAAATTTTCTTTTACAGATAAAACTTCAAAAATAATAAAAAGTTGGAGCAATTAGATGATCTTAAATTGTTGATATATTCATTGTTATCATTGCTAAAACTATATACAATTGAAAAAGTTTATATAATTTACCTCAAGTATAATAATCTTCATCACTAGAAACTTCTTGCAAATTTCCATAACAACCAATCTTTTTTCTAATTAAATCCCCCCATAAAACATTGGTATTACAAATAGGGCAAGTACCTTCAATTGGTAAAATCATGTTGCCTTTACGAAACAATTGTGCCAAACAAATTAAATGAGATATTAATGAACAGCTAGGTTTTATACAGCTAACTGCTTGTTTTGTTGCATCTAGAGGTGCATTACAAATAGAACAGATTATAGATGATTCATCCAACGTTTCTATTGTATCATTTGTCTTCTTAATCTTTTTGGAAATTACTTTTCCATGACATATAGGCATATGCATTGGAGCTGAAACATAGCTAGAGTACTTTTCAAAGAACTCATAATCTAGCCAACGAATTGTTAAAGGTAAGCGACACCAAGGTCCAACTTTTAACATATTTGACAGAACCAGAAAGCAAAATTCAATTACTTTCTGTTGTGATTTTTTCTTAGGCACATGTTTCAAACGGCGACTAATGTGAGGGTGTTGCCAAGCCCACTCAAACTAAAAGTAAAAACAAATTAAACTTCAAATGCAAAAATTACTGATAGAGTACTACATAATTCTTTTTTTATAAAATTAAATGAACGTACCCTAAGGGCGGATGTATTATTTGGAAAGCCATGAATAATTAATACCATATTCCTAAAAGGAAACAAAGTATCTTTTTTACAACTTACATGTAATTAACATAACAAAGAATAGCATATTTCATGGTTATTTAAAAATTATATAATTACCATGGCCCTTTATTACTCGTTTTCCATGCACCTCCATGTTCTTTTCCAGCATTATGTTTCTTAAGTCGACGACAAGGATCAACTGTATATCCTATATATGTTCTTCCCTTATATTTTGGATTCATACAATATAGCAAATATACACCATAAAAGTGCTCTATAACTTCTGCGTTTTCCATTTTCAAATTAACTAGTATAATACATTAAACTACACAAAATTTACAGTAAATTTGAATAATAAAGGAACTACATCAGAATACAATAAATGTTTAGTGTTATGTTACCAAAATAAAATCATAGAAAAAAATTAATTTTATAATTTTATTATCATTTCATTATTTACTCTCTTCCTATTATTTATTAATGCAATTACAAATTAATAATGAATTATAAAGATTAATGTATATAATTGATCGTGTTAACCTAACATCCCATGTAACAAGTTCAAACCTAGCCAAATTTAATATTATCAAAATTAGGTTACTTATAGATGTCAGATAATGCTATCGAAAGAATGTAAACACGATGATTAGCAATAAAGACTTATAACATATTATTATACATATGTATTTCATAAAATAGATATTGAATTTAAAAAAAATATAATTCAAAAATATTTTCAATAACACAAATAAAAATGTACAAATCTTAATAATGTTACAGTAAATAAATAGTACATATATATATATACTACTATATAGTATATACTATATAGTATAGTATATATATATACTACTATAGGAAATATAATACCTGATAATACATATATATATATATATGTATTCTTATATATGTATCCTTTCTTAAGAAATAAGTAAATTTATGTACTACATAATAGATTATTATATCTTGTATATATATAAACGCGAATAAAAATTTAAAAAGTTTTTATTGTAGCACGTTTTTAAAATCAAAAATGTGTAATGTTTATTTGCATGAATATTGAACTTTTTAAAATTTGCATTTATATACTTATAAATTTTTTCATTTTTACATATCCATTTATATCTTTGTTTCTGAAATTTTTCCTCATTTATAAATTTACATTATACACGCTAAATTATATATGTACTAATTTTCTTCCCATATATGACACTATTATTGCAAGTTATTACATCCCTCTCAATCAGGAAATAAATCAGAATGGAACTAGTATTTTGACGTCATTGCCGCATCAAGAATAGAATATTTTATTGAAAGACGCAAGCGCTGTGACACTAAATTCCATAGTTTATCAGACAGGTGTATTTTTCACGGTTGTAAGTTTTATTTCGTGTTAAGAAGAAGAAATCGCGAATGGAGATAAATAAGAATAGACCAACAATAACAATCGGTTTCTCCGGGAATGTAATTGAAAGCGCCGCGTATTTAGTTGCAGCACTGTCGAAATTACGCTTTGATCTTGATTGGACACAAACCAGAAGAGATCTGTACGCGAGGATCCAGTAAGAATGGCTGCCGTTTTTAGAAGATTCAGAGCCGTGCAGATCACGGTGATCGGCAAAACTAAACTACCGTCATTTGTTACCAGCCGGTAGGCGATCACGACTGCAAAACTTTGAAGAGCCCTTTTTTCATATGTTTCGTGTATAATCTACGCGAGCTAGTATATAAACGGCGGCTTTTTAGGGCAATAGCCACATCGTGTGTGTTGTAGATCTTTTGCAAGGTCATCGATCCGACAGGATATCAGCGAAGGATGGATAAACAAGCTTTTCGTAAGAAAAATCGAGCCAACCAAAGAGTCTCATTCAAGGATGCTGTCAGATAAAGGAGTTATTTACGCCTTGCACACGCACAATATTCGACCCGATTCCATTGATAAATATTTGACCAATTAGTAAGTTAATTTTGTTTACATTCCCTGTATCTTAATGTCAAGTCGTATGTTTAAATCATAAACATGTTTAGAATACTCGCACAAAAATTCTTTCAAAATTGTTTTTCTTGAAGTTTCAAAAAAATATTAGATTTTGTTTATGTCGCAGAATTGGCATGCACAGAGAATTATTTATATTAGGAAAATTATATGGGGACATGTTTGTATTTTGGAATATTACAGTGAAGAGATTGTTAACATTATAAACTCCAAGAAATCTGAATTGAAATTGGAGCTAGTTGGTTCATGGACTGTCGTAGCTGGTGATATCGATCAAGCGTTGCATCTATGGCGATACTCTGGTGGCTATGATAGTGTTGACCGCACACAAATTGAATTGTCTAAAGAAGAGGTATGAGAATTAAATAAATTTATTTATATATAGTAATATAAAACAAACATTTCATATATTATTTTATTATTTATTGTTATATGATAATTATATGTTATATATAATATTGTTTACTCTCAGGCATATCAACAATTATTCAAAGAAAATGGCAAATATCTACGGTCACGTTATTTACAATATTTATTGGCATTTAGCTATTGGCCTCCTCTTACAAAACGAAATGGTTCCAATATATATGAAATACGTAGTTATAGGTTACAGCCTGGTACTATGATTGAATGGGGTAATAATTGGGCAAAAGCCATCAATTATAGACGTAACAACAATGAACCTTTTGCTGGTTTCTTTTCACAAATTGGCAGATTATATAATGTTCATCACATTTGGTGTAGGTATTATGTTAATATTATTTATGCATTCCTTACGTACCAGATTAACAATATGAACTATATATAATATTAATTCACAGAAAAGATATATATAATTTATATTAAATATATATAATCTATATGTTTTTAAGAATAAAAGACATGTTTATTTCCAGGCTACAAAAATCTCCAAGCGCGAATGGAAACTCGTGAAAGTGCATGGAGATCTCCAGGATGGGATGAATGTGTTGCATATACTGTACCATTAATTAGGGAAACACATTCCCGTATATTAAGACCAACTAACTTTTCACCAACAAAATAAGATTTTATGCCCACAAATCTAAATGCATTTGTATAATACAATTTATTTCTTATGTTTACATTATAATGTAAAAATATTTGTTATATTATACACACTACGTTTATATAACTGTATAAAGTAAGCGCTCAATATGAAATGAAATGTAGCATTTTGTTGTATTGCAATTACTAAAATGTATTTTAATAAAATTTAAACTTCTTTGTTACTATACGCTTCACGATATATTTTTATTGTCAGTTTTTAAATACATCTATATATTGATGAGTACATTAATCGTTGTATTTCTGAACATTTATCTATCTTCCTTTACTAAAATTTGCTACTTCTAATATTTACATAATGATTGATCAATAATTCAATAATTATCTAGTTTTAGTGAAATAGTTTATAATAAAAGAGGTATGGGAAGGTTATGAAATGCGAATAATTATTAAATATCATTTATTTTTATTATCTATTCATCAATCTAATCTGTTCAAAGTTTAAGTGATAAACATGTCCTCCTCTCCAGTCGTATAATTCAAAGGACATATTAATTTAATTAGACATGGAAATCTTGACAAACGAAGGCCAATTACAGACGTTAATTGCATTTTATATTTAATTTTACTGTATTTTTCTTATAAAGATACTAGTCTTTAAACTTTATTAATTAAGCTATATAAATATACATATATACGTATAAAATAAAATGATAACTGTCATTGTAATAAAGAATATTATTATTGATAATTAGACTATCTCTCACAATATTGCTTGTTATGTTGTATTGATTGATTGTTATGGATTAGAAAAAATGTTTTATATATAAGTATATTTAGTATTTTCTCATCACTTGACACAATTAATAGTCAAATTAATTTAAAACACTTCAGCATTGCTTAAATTTTTACTATACTATACTATACTTTTACTATATTATTTCTAAAAACAATTTTTACCTCTATTTAATGCATCAAGTGCAGGAGTTAGAGTATATTATTCTGTATGTTACTTTTCACATACTTTTTTAAATACAAAGTTAATGAAATGAAAGATGATTATCTTATGACCTACATCATGTACTTTATTAAAATTTATTATGTTAATGTCCTTTGTATGAATTCTTATATCATACAATAAAAATTTAATTTGCTTGAATTATCCTTAAAAATTATTATGATTCATGCAGCATTATTCTTACAATGCTGATGCGTTTCAAGAATAGAAAAAGTTGAAAATGAAGTGGAATTCAAATTATAGCAAATTTTTCTTATAATAACGTAAAAGTGGCGCAACAGTGGAGGACTTATATGTTTAATAATATTGAAAATAGAAAGCATCTTCAGAACACAGAAATAAATATCGATGAAATCTTTGCGAATTACGAATATTTACAATATACAAATATATATACAAGATATATATATATATATTAACCAACATATTACTTTATAAAAGAGAATAAAATAAGTCAGTATAAAATTCTGTATTAGTACAAAGTTTTGACATTTAATTATTCTATGTCAAGTGATTCTTATATCAATATTCTACGCCAGACAATGTATTTTTTTAATTATCTTATAATTATCTTTTCAGTAACAATATTTTTTCGTAAATATTAATGTGGAATGGAAAGTTTAATATTGTTAAACAATTAATTCTGAAATAATGAAGATTCCTTATCGGAATATTTTATGTATCAATATCAGTATTTTATTTTATCTTTAATTTATTGAGTTTATTGTATGAGTTTATTGTATTTAATGAGTTTATTGTAATTAATAAATGAGCTTTATAGTATATATGATTCATAATAACTCAATTCTAAATATTATTTTCAATTGCGTTTTAAATTAAAAAGTGCTAAAAAGGATAAAAAGTTGAAATTTGTATTGTTACATAGTATTATATTATAAACTTATATAAACGTAATCATTTGACATAGAATAGAAATTTAATTTTTACAAAAATGTAAAAACTATTAAAATCAGTAATTAATAACTTTTGTAATTTATTAATCTTATCTTGTGACTATGCATAATGTTTTGTACCAAGTAAAGTACAAACAATATATCAATTTAAAACGTTTTACTACATCACTGATAATATCATATTATCGGAAATTATACTTGATAAAGTAATTTGATTGTTATGGATTGAAATTCTAATAAAAACCAGATTTATATAATATATCAAATAATATTGCAAATACATTATACACATACATACATATTCAGTAAATGTAACATAAAATAATTTCATATAATATAATACTATATATATTAGAAGTTTTGTTCATTATTTCGTGAAAGGCAAATTAATAATTTACTCCAATGATATCTGTAATTTTGTCTGATTTTGTAATTTATATTACGGACTCTTTGCATAAAATTTTATTCTTTTAATCATATAAAATATACAGATATTGCCGAA